CTGCCACACCCCTCCCCCACCCTTCACACTTTAAATTGTTTTCAAATTGGTACATAAAAGAATTCAAGTTTTGTAAGAATGATTTATGGAAGAATTGTTTGATAAACTCTAGAGGGAGTTGTGGCTATAAATAAATACATCTACAACATTCACTAGTGTGAATACAAAATGTCACTTATCAGCTATGCCACACAGATGACAATGCAAACTTATTTCATGTTCAAGAGCACAGATTGATCTACTACCCTTAATAAACTTCACATCAGTGATGGATTACTATAAATAAACTCTTTCTAAAGTAGAAGCAAACAGATTGATAAAATAATTGAAATTTTAAGGCATTCGCCAATAAAATTTTTTGACTATGAATTTTCTCAATTACTCATCTTTTTTCAAGCACCCAAAACCTTAAACTAACATTCCTAACACCTAATAAAAGCATCATTTGCTACTTACCATTAAAACTTGCTCAACACTCTACAACATCACAAAACTTTTAAATGTATGAAAATCGAGTCAGAATCTTTGGTCAAAACTTCAAAATGATCTCATAGTCCAGTAGTCTTCTTCTATATTTTTAAACTCTTCAACATATCTGCACTAACGGTATGGAAAAACCTAGTTTGCCAAAATATTCCAAATCTGTCAATGAACTCAAATACTATTCATCCACAGAATATAATATTCTTAACACAATTGCTGCCATGTGATAATAGGGAACTTTCGGTTGCACGACGACGGTAGGACGTAGAACGTAATGACGTCAGTAAGTCATCTGCGCATGCGAGAACGTTAAGGTTGCCTCGTCAAGTACACTGTAGATTCTGGAATGCAATTTGGCCAAACCTACGTATGCAGAGAACGTAGGACGCCAGGTAGGACAGTCACGCATGAGTGATTCCGTTCTAGCGTCGCGTCGTCGCACAAATCAAAAGCTCCCTAATAAGACACAGATGCTCGTCTGTTGTCACAAAGTTTAAAGGGCACCACCAATGTGACATAAACAAGATGCAAAGAACAACCCAAAAAAATTGATGAATTTAGATCAAAGGTGAAAAAAGGCATACTTATTAGTTCCATTACTGTTCGTGCAATTACCTTATTTTCTATATAATTTATTAAGCAATATTTGCATAGCACTTTTACAATTAAAAAAAAAACACACACACACATGGCTGACAACTTGTGTCAGCCATGTAAAAAAATTAAATATACAAAAATTTGACTGGATCATATTCACCACCAAATCCCACACAACCCACAATAGCTTAAAACAACATGGATAATATTCTTATACTTAAAAGGTTTACAAATTCAGAAAAACCATATAAACCCATTATTAATATGTTACGATTGTATTCAAGTTGATAACAATACTTCAACTATTCGTAGTTGAATACTTCAACTACAAAGTTTTCTCCAGTTGCTGCAATCTTGGGCCACTGAGATGATTTGGTGTGGCTGCAGCATTCCCTCAAGATCACCCAAAAGGTGCTGGATATATTTTAAAAACAGAATGCACTGGCGACCAGGTTTCCTCTTTCCATACAGTGGTACATACAAGGCATATTCTTTCACAGACTCATTATCTGGAAGGCAAAGTATATGGCCCAGATATTTGAGCTGGTGTGTTCTTACTTGTACAATAAGAGGACTTGTATCAGTCAGGATGTTATGGTTGAATTTAGAAATCTTGTCTATTCACTTGATGTTTAGAATCATAAGCAATTTTGCTTTCCATATCCTTGGAGATAATCCAAGACTCACAGCCATGTAAGAGGACCGTGATGCAAGTTGTCTTAAACAGCTTTACTTTGGTGGGGATAGGCAAGGATGTACTTCTCCAGAGATGTTCAAGTTTCCAAAATGCAGACCAAGACAGAGAGCTTTGCGACGTTTCAAATCTGCGGCACTGGATGCCATACTAGACCCAGATATTTGAAGTCAGATACATGGATGGTATTGCCATATGCTTCAAGTGCTAGCTGTGGGTTGCAATTAATAGCGGTCATGTTCTCTGTTTTCGGAGCACTAATAACTACACCTAACCATGCTGCAGCTGCTGCAGTTTTGGAGATCTGCGACTGGGCCCGTGCCATTGAGGACTTTAGGAGTGCGATGTCATCGGCAAAGTCCAGGTCATTCAACATTTTAGCTGGGTATCGCCTTGATCTGGGTGGATGGGTCATGATACCAGATTCGGCTCTACATGTTTTCAACAAGAGGTAATCCACTATTCCCTAATATTATAAACAGAAAAGGGGCTAAGACATCAAACTGCAGGACACCCATTGTTACTGGGAATGGGTCTGAGATGTTCCCATCAATCATGACAGTACTACTTGAATTGTTGTAGAGTACTTGGATGGCCTTAACCAAGGTTTCAGGGATGCCATAATGACGCAGTACTGCAAACATAACTGTCCTGTTGATGGAGTCAAAGGCTTTCTTGAAGTCCACGAAAGTGACTATCAGAGGCAGTTGGTATTCCTTAAAACCTTCCATGATCCTTCTCAAGATGCGAGTTTGCTGTACACAGCTACGACCAGATCTGAAACCGACCTGGTTGCTCCTTAGCACAGGATCAATATGTGGTCTAAGACGGTGGATCAGGATTTTATTGTAGATTTTTGCTGCAATAGACATTAGTGAGATGCCCCGGTAATATGTCATAAGGGAGAGGTCACCTTTCTTAGGTAGAGGAATTATGACATTAGTGACCCATTGTTGTGGAGGTGACAGTGTAGTGCAGGGGTGGGCATAAAAATCGGTCAGAGCGCCAAAGTGAATTTTTTATTTAACACCGAGGGCTGCACAAAAACCAAAAACCTCCAAGCTCTGCTTTTACACCATTTTATTTTTAGTTTTAATGTTACTTTTCACATATATTCGGTGTCGGGCTGTAAAAAACAAGGTGTTTTCTAGTCAATGTTGCTTGGTGGGCCGCACACATAGGGTTTTAATTTCATCTTCTCGGGCTGCATGCGGCCCAACAGCAATGAATGATGTCGATCATGCAATCACCTCATCCCTGCAGTGCTTCTGCTGTAACAACACAGTCCAATGCAGCTGCCTTTTTAATTTTCATGGCTGCTATGGCTTTGGCGGTCTCTTCACGAGTAGGGGGGTTCCGTGATGATAGGAAGGTCCTCAATAGCTGGGGCTGGCAATTCTGGTGAGTCCAATTCACTATCATTTTTAAGAAGGGAACTAAAATAATTTTTCCACTCCTTCAGCAAATCTGGACTACTAGATGGAGCTGTTCCATCTCTCTTCTTCACTTTTGGATTTTGCCTTGAGTGCTTTCCAGAGAGGTTGTGAATTATCTTCCAGGTGGTATTGTAATTACCCATCTCATCAGATAGCTTCAGATCCTCCATCTGTTTGCTGAGTACAGCTGCTTCGTCTTCTTTGTAAGGTTGGTTCAGCTTCAGACCTTGTCATTTGAAAATGGCAGGTTTTCACTCACAATAATTTTCAGGCGAGTGATTATTTTGCGGGATGGCGCTGATGGAAGGGGCAGAGAGATTAAAGAAATATTGCAGATGAACGTTTAATCGCTACACAGTGTAATCAACAGGAGACAGGCTGAACGTTCAGGAGTCAACAAGACATCAAATTTAACTTCCAATATTTACATGTAGAGAAACAATAAAGTGCACTCTCTCAATACCGACCCCCCCCCCCCCTCCCACCTCGGGACCGGTTATGATGTTTGGATTTCCGGAAAGTTTGGTTAGTGTAGCATATCTATTATTGAACCCTTTCCGAACAAATTGTTGTAGGCCAGCTAGGCTACAACCTAGCTTCTGAGATAGGCATAGGCCAGGCCTAGCTAGCAAGAGTCCCATGGGTTTGGTTCGACTAGCCTACGAAAAGTTAACATACATACAGTGTACAGTACATTTTGTTTTTCTGTACTGTACAGAAAATTTAATTACCAATAAAACAAATGCTTTTATAATATATTTACGTGCATTTTCGGTCTGATATTTTTTCCCTAAACCCCAAGGCATTCTTCGTGGTCGGTTGTTGTTAACCATCAGACATCAGGTCGCACCTCCTAAACTCTGCCAGCTATTTTTTTTCATGGGGTTATGTGCAAACATGTGCTTGGCTGTGATGACGTCAGATTGCCCAAAGTTTCATTGCGTGACAGCTTGCTGACAGAACGAACTCAGTGTATTTCGCCTACATTTATAAATTAAATCTAAATAGATCTAACAAATTTAAATTTTATTCTCTACAAATTTCCTCTAATTAAATTAGCAACATGTTTCTCAAAAGTGTCTTGTTTGAAGAATAAGTGAAGCTATGCATTTGTAATTTACACTGATGAATCTTACGACATCCAACTCCGAATAAACATCTACTAATACAGTCAGCGCTCGTAAAAACTTGGTTTGAGTTCCATCTTCATTTCAGGTTGATTCCAATCGATATTTAAGGAGCGATTTATACTTTATTAAACAATGGAAGGCGTAATTTTCACTTGATCTAACCATGTAACTTTAACGTTTACTGGTGTGTCGTTTTAAATCAATAATCTCTGGCAGCAGTTCGCTACTGGGACTGAGAAAGCAGTATGAACGGTTCATTCACAGGGTTAGGCCTACGCTGGCCCGTCATGGTGTCAGTAATAGACTGTCGTTTATCTACCTTCGTATTTGAAATTGAAATGATATAAATATCAATGTCGACATCATCAACAATCAACCAGACATCTATAGTTAGATTATTATTTGTTAAATTATTATTTTTTTTTATATCCATGGAGAGGGGATGTGTAGTGATCACATTCATGGATATGTAAATATTACACAGGTGGTCATGGACTATTTAATAAAAAGGCTGCATGGTTTCCACAGCAGCACAATATACAAGTCAGTAGTTGTAGCAGTCTTTGTTATACGCGTTCATATATTACAGTACCAAGAACAACCTTTGACATGACAATAATAAACACAAAATGTTTAAAGGAAGCAAATATGATTATGGGTAGTTTAACTTCCTTCGTCTGCCCTTGTAAGACATCACAAAATCCTTAACACAATTTAGATTTTTTTTTTAATCTCATGTTTTTCCAAACTTTTTTGTTTCGTTTGTATACCAGACCTTGTAATGACATCAGTCTTGTGTGGATTCCCATTTAAAAAACTGATGTGAGTAAAGACAACTCTGCTGAAATGTACAGTCAATGAACAACACAAGAATAATTATCTTCATCAATTGCGTTGAGTAAGGTTTGGCTGCAGTTCCTCTGGTATTTATATATTAGTGGTATTTATATAATAGTGACTATATAAGTGACAGGTTCCCCTTTTTAAAGTAGGGGGGGGGGGACATCATATCAATTCCACCAAACTTCTATAATTAAAACCCCAATTTTCAAAGCAAATGGAAGAACAACAAGTACGCATTGCTGTCATGAATTCTGTCTGTTCACTTGTGCTCTTTTCCAAGTTCCGGACCAAAACTAAGTAAACGCAATTGTTTGTACATTTTGTAACAACCTCAGTAACCGCTACATCGATTTTATGGATACAACGGTTATCAGGCTAAATTTATTGTGAAAAAATGTACTATACGTTGTTACAATTGGAATCATGTTAACTTATTAGGCCAATATTTTTACAAACTCAAAAATGCACAATTTCTACTATAAACGATTTATTTCTATACTAGTGTTTAATATTAGGAAAAAAAAATTGCTTGTCCTCCTCCACCCACTGATAGACCAAATGATTAATTAAGTAAATCACCTTGTGAAATCAAAATGCTAACTGATGTTTTGTGTGCTTCCTATCTCCCTTGTCCTGTTTGATTCTAAATTAGATGGTAGTATTTCCACTTACAATAGTGTAGTCATGATACTTCCACAAAAGTGAAATCAAAAGAGGAGAAAAGGAAAAACCTCTTGAATGTTTGTTAATGTAACTGTAAATGCAAAGAGACTAAATTAATGACTGTTTTAAGTTTATCTTATTTGTTTTTTAGTGGCAGATTCAAGGCGTCTAGCTGGCCCACCCTTCTAATTTTTTTCAAAATTTAGAAGTGGAGAAAAATGAAAATCATATTCAAATTTAGTCTGAAAGTGCCATTTTCAGCCAACCAAAGGTGCCATAATCATAAATTTTCTTACCTGGTCTACACTCTCCATCTGTAAAACTCCCTCCCTAGGCCCACCTCTATTTAAAATTCCTGGATCTGCCACTGTATTTTCTGTGCGAATAACCTCAGCCATTTTGAAAATGTAGTGTGGAAATAAATGTTAATTGCATTCACTTAAAATTAATTATATACGAAAGGCTATAGGCACCAGAGCTTTCCGGGGGCTTCGCCCCCCTGGACTGGACCCTCACTGGGTTCCTAGGTAGCTCCCTGTCCCCCAACCAAAGCTTGGGCCTACGGTCCAAGGCCTTCTTATTTTCTTAATTTAATTCTTTTGCTTAAAACACAGGAAGAGGGCCTACACCGCATATGCCCTGAATCCACCAATAGGATAAGATTATAGACAGAAAGTACAGCAAAGCTATTTCATTATTGATAAGGCTCCTAATGATTAGAAGTATTAAGATGTTTATTAAAGTGTTTTCATCAAAGATGGACAAAATAATGAAACCCCAAAATGTTAACATCACATTACTGTAGAATTCAAATGAAAATTAAGGTCTGGTTAAAATATTTCTTTCAAAATAAAAACATTTGTTTGACTTACCAATAGCGGGTTAATTATGGGATCACTCCGAAAACCAGCAAAAGAGTTACTCCTATTCAGAGAAGGGCGGTGACTGTTACGGCGCCTTAATGTTCCCGAAAAGTCCTGTAACCTCCCTAAATAAAACATAGCAAGATTGCTGATGTTAGCAGTGGAAAAACGGCTCATTATGGCCAGCTGATAAACAAAACACTATTACTGATGATGGATCTCTCATGATATGACAGATAATAATGAATATGATACACCATATTCTTTTGGAACAGTTCATTATATCAACAGGGTCTTCCTTTAAGTGAACATTTACAGATACTTATACAGACATGGTCATTATCAACCTGGTATATAAATAGTAGAGACCAACCAAAACATGTTACAAAGCCAACATCAGTGTGTTAAAAATGCAAAACCTTGTCAAAACAAAGTTGAATATTTTAAGTCTATTAATAAAGAGGTTTCAGTTGCTCGATGGCTAGAACTACATCCGCTGGTTCCTAGGCCCCCTAGCATGAAGGTTAGGCTTGTATTTCAAAAACTTCTAGGTTGTCTGTTTGGTATCCATCAAATTGCAAAATAAACAGATTGCATTAGCATCCCGCTGTGCATTTTAGATTATAGAAACCGTACAACTCTATGTCGAATAAATGTAGAAAGATATCTGAATAACTGTAGAAAAATACTGTCAGCAAAAGTAAAAGTCAGGAATAATAAAAGTCAATGACACTGTGGATGAATGCAAGATGATTATACAACAAATACATTGATATTAAACAGGTTAACATATATTTAAACAGTTTGTTATAGATTTGTGGACTACAAAAATACATATAAAAAATTATGAGGTGCTTTTGGGCTTCATTAAATTTATAGGGCATTGGTGATTTTAATTATTTCATTATTCATGGTTTTTCTTTTTTAGACAATGTCTATGTGGTAGTTTGATTTGTTAGGCCTTTAAGAGGATCCAAAAAATTTGCTTATCTTATATTAAAAAATGTGAAGTCCAGGGCTCCAACTTTCCAACTACACACTGCCACTAACTATATAATGATAATGGTAGAATATTTGTACAGCACCTTCTCCACAATAAAGTCATCTCAGGGCACCGACAGTATTCAGACCACTAACCAAATTGAAAAACAGAAAAAAAATAAAAGTAAAATAATGGACAGGTAATGGTTCAGGTATTGAAGTGAGACGGCAGCCAACAATGGCACTAAACGAACTGTGAACACAAAAAGGAAGAAAAAGAAAGGAAAATGCGAACTCCCAATGTTGAGATGGCGTTGCCACCGCTAAACACAGGTACCCAGCATCAAATTTACCACAATTAACCTTTTTCTTTTTTTCATGATTTTCATTACTATATTTCATTTATGTTGTACTCCAAATTTGTTATTGTTAATGTATTTTACTGGTGTTCATTGCTTAAAGTTCATTGAACTTATATTGAACTCCATCCACACATATCATATTTTCAGTTCTACATTTAATTATAATTATTGATGAAATATGAATTGTCATCCTTAATTTTTAGTAATAAATACTGTTATATTATTATCTGTTCATTTTATAATGAAATTCATTTTGTCAATGTATTATTTATGTGTGGAAAAATTGCAATAAACAAACAAACAAACAACTAATGTGAAAGGCGCACCTGGGCCTAATGCTCTCATCCTATCAAAAGGATATGGTTTTGAAGGTGAGAATTGCCAGATGAATGGCATTTCAAAGATGTGTGGCTGTCGATCCAGTGTATTATACAAAAAAAATACTGGTTAGCAGTTTTGAATGTATTCACTTTGTTGTCAGGCTTACAGCTCTAACATGTCTTTTGCACTTCATCGTATTGTCATTTACAGTTTTTGCATTTCATTGTTGATGTGTAGAATAAAAAACCAGGGTTCGAAATAACGCTGGTCCGCCGGCCAATGGCTAGTATAATGCATGGCGGACCTGTTAATTATCCCAATAATAAGTCTGTGTGACCAGTTAAAATGTCAATGAAAGTCTGACGAAATACAAAATACAAAATATTTCACACAGATAATGTCAACAAAATCGCTATTTTCTGTTTATTGTCATGTTAATGTCAGCTACGAACAGCCTTGGGCTCAGTCATTCAAGGCGAACCGATGGACATCACGCACTAGCCTAGACCATGGAGGAATCGTACAGAGGGAAATAACCTTTTCCGCATGTTATAGCGACAAGGAGAAGTTGATTTCCGTCTGTGACGTGTGAGCACCGTGAAGTTAAAACATCATGTCATGTATCCATCCCACAATGCAACATGTGACAAAAAGTTAATAAACAACGCAACGATTTCCAGACGGAATAACGCAATAATCACACCCTGTAAATGAACCGTTCGTACAGTCCCAATAGTATTGCCATGGAGATAATCTATTAATTAAAACGACACACCAGTAAAATGGTAGATAAAGCAGGGTCTTGGATAAAGTCAAAGTTACGCCTTCCATTGTTTTAATAAAGTGCATTATCGCCTATGAATACTTAAAAATCGACTGTAATGAACCTGAAATGAAAAAGGAACTCAAAGCAATTTTTTCTACGACAACTCTTTTTCAATAGACGTTTAATTCGGATTTGGTATGTCATTAGATTCATATAGGCCTAAAGTATCAGTCTACATAGTACAGTACATGTAAATTACACTCACATTCCCCCAAAAAACATTGCTAATTACGGAGGAAATTTGCAGAAGGAAATTTTAATTTGTTAGATTTATTTTTAGATTTTACTCTAAAACAAAACCACGAGGGTTTCTTATTCATTTTAATAAATTTCTTTAATCAAAAATTTATCGGTTTACACTATGTTGGTTCCTGTCAGCAAGCTGTCACGCACTATGAAACTTTGTGCGATCTGACGTCACCACAGCCTAGCACATGGATGCCCAGCAACATGACCACACGAAAAAAATTAACCAATTAGCGGGCAGAGTTTAGGAGGCGCGACCTGATATTTACAACAAGTCGCATCGTGACCACGAAGAATGTGTTGTGTTTACAGTTTAGAAAAAAATGTCTACCGAAACCGAAAATGCACATAAAAACTATATAAAAGCATTCATTTTATTGGTAGAGTAATACAACTTGCTGTGCACTACAGCTAAACAACAGGTACTGTACGTATTATATGTTAAATGTTAACTTTTTTCGTAGGCTAGTCATACCGAATTCACTGGGCCCCCTGGGCTATGCTAAGCCTATTTTTAGCGTCTAGGCCCTTAAACTCGCCTGCCTTATTCGGAAAGGATTCAATAGAAATGTTCCACAAACCGATCTTTCCGGAAAACCGAACATTGTAGCGAACATCGTATTGCGAGAGTGCACTGTACATACAAATAGATTCCTGTATTTATATTTCGCGGCATAATTTCCCATACTGAGTCAACAGAATTTTTCTGTATCTGTCAACAGGGGTGTGGGGGGGGGGGCTGTTCAGTATCTTTTCATGTATTTAGTTTTCTTTGTCCAGTGTTAATTCATTAGGTTTTAATTTAATTTTTAAATTTTGCTCTTTCTGAACTAATTATATTTTTCATTACTTGTTTTCTTTTTTAATTTTCATTATTTTCCTTGTATTTTTGTGGTTTTAAGTTACAATCTTATATATTGTTTGAACGTGCCTTCTATATGTCGTGTGCCGCTGTTATAAAGTTCAAGTTCAGTGTTACTTCATCGGTGAGGGGCAGCATGATTAGCATGTCAAAAATATGGTATTTGGGCCTTCCAAAGTTGGCAAGATAGTGGCTAGTGAAAAGGATTGAGGACCAGTAAAAATATTAATTTACTGGTCCACTTGGCTAGTTAAAAAAAACCTTAAGGGAAAAAATATCACACTTAAATTTCTGCCACACAAGGCATTCATAAATAATAGAACCATTCATTTATGTTCTTTATTTGAAAATGTCTGTGGTTTTTCAAATGAGCATTCAGTATTTAATTTTTTTTTTCCAGGTTTATTCTGATATGTGTGGAATATATCTTTAATCATAAAAAACTCCCAAATATTTATTTGATGGTTATTTATGTTAATCCTAATAATAGACCTAATCTGCTCAAACACAAAATATATATAATTTAATTTTGTTGCATTGTCAAAATCTGTAATAATTAAATTTTAGTAATTTATTTAAAAATATAATTGAGAAAGCTTTACCAATAAGGATAACTCATACTTCAATATAATGACATCACAAAATAATGTTTATAATTATCTGTCGTTTTCCTTTTCAAAATATATGAGAGACCATGCTCCTACTACTTTGGAAAGGAGTCTGACTATACAAAATAACTGAAATGTAAATCTTTTAACACTCTGGTCTGCCATCCAATGTTGAACACAGATAAACATAAAAACAACGTATCTGGTAGTGCACAACAGCTGCCGAGACATGAATCTCCTGATTCTCGTCATACACCTGTCAGTATGATAGACAGGAGGTCAAATGAACAACAACCGCTGCCATACATACTGCAAGGTGTCATGTCCATAGGCCATCTGTAGCATTGTAGTAGAGAGTATGCTACAAACAATTACCGTGCATGATTATTTTTGCAGCAGAAATGGTTCCCCACCTCAAAATATAAAAGTATTATTCAGTAACTTGTTTTTAAAAAAGTAGATTACTTAATTCTTCAAACAAATAACTTATTATTGAGCATCACAGCAAATGGACACTGAGGGTGTGTTTCTACTGATAAACACAAAATAATCGATTTTTTAAAACCGTTTTTTTAATGAGTACCAGACAGCCCACTCCTCATGTTTGTTGACGTTTTACTCGCCTAATACGATCTAGTCTTTGCAGTGATTGACCTGGAGGTCACACATTAGGATAAGTTTGATCAGCCAGTTGATCGAAATTGCCTTTGCGTAGGGTTTGATAATCCCCTTATCGCGTCGAAGCGAATTCAATGGCTGGTCGTTGAAGCGTGCAAATTGTACCATTGCAAAATAGGGGTATTTAGTTTGTGTGAATGTAGAGAAAGTTGTAGGTGCAAGCTCATAGTACTTTATAATAAGCAAAAAGGTAATACTATTATCATACTTCAGTAGGTATACATTTATTTTAACATTGTACAAATGTGCCTATTACAGAAGCTTCTACTATGCACTTGCATGACCCATTGAAAATGGTATGGTCTGATTATCAGATCTGAAACCGGAACTTTGCCGAGGAGAATACGTGGGCCTAGCAGAATATCGTCATTTATATACTGTCATAACTACTATATTTGTTATGTAAATACAATAAAAAAATATATCTATGTGTTCACCTACACATGCACAAACTAAAAATCAAAATAATATTTAAAGATAATGCAAATAACATTCTAAATTTTAACTCCAAAGTTAAGCTCCTTCTGCTCAACAATACGGTCGAATACTCGTTCGCTATTCTAAAGCATTGGCTTCTAAACTGACTTGCTACTGATTGATTCTTACAAAAATAACATGTCCGACATTATTTATTAACCAATCAAATTGATTTTTACATTTGTTTTAGGTAATAAATAAAGCTACATGTTGCCACAACAATGCCGAAAATCGGCCCAATATCAGCGAAGCAACTACAAAAAAACTTCGAGCGGTTCACCACATTTCTGCTAAAACTGTAGGTTTTACACGGAAAAATTTGAAAAACCATGGTTACAAAATTAAAAAGTCCGACAAGATTTTGCAATCTCATGGATTAAAATTAAGATTACTAAAACTGTTATTAAATTTGGAATAGGATAAAAGAACAATGTCGAAAATCGGACAAGTAGAAGTAAAGTTATGAAGAGAAATGTGCGAAAAAATAGCGGAAACAGCTGAAAATCGAACGTTTCGAATTAAATTAAATGAATTCGCGAAGATCAAACTTATCCTAATGCATTTCACACCTGATAATCGCTTTTTTGTGTTGCAGCTAAAAGGTGAAATAAACATGTGACCTGAAAAATCATTTGTGGTGATGATGATATTAATGAAGGGTAATCCATGTTTCCTTGACACTGTTGCTAGCTGGTGTGAGTGCAAGAGACTGTGCTCACTTTCAAAAGATTCCCACAAACTCGCAAAAGACTTTGGACCCTGAGATATATGGTCATACCTAGGAGTAAGTCTGACTGCTCGATTTAACTGAAGTTGTAATTTCCTCAGTCCATTTACGAAGCAATAACACTGCAAAACCTAGTCAAGATGTAACTACAGTAAAGTTTGGAAGTACTCTAGCATCTTAGGAACATTTGGCTTTTGGTAATCTATGATTTGATACTTGTCTAACTTTAAATTAAATGAAGATAAAACATTTAATATTTCTGAATGCCTAATTATGATGTTGATTACAAAACACAAAAACAGACATAAATTTTTGTAGTATATCACATTTTCTATCTTATTTAAAGACCAAACATGACAAGGTATTAATTACAAATTACAAAATGAGAGTGCGAAGAAAAATTGTTTGATGACATTATTTTGTCTCTACTGTTAGCATGGTTAATTCATTAATTCTCATACACAAAAAAGAATGCAGATAATGATACTTTGGAAGTGAATAACACTTGTGCTAGTTAACACTGGGTTAATTGCTCAACCTTCATGTCAAGTTAGAAATAAGAGTTTCTGTGAATCCTACCCGAACTACAATAACTCTACAGATTAATGATTAATTGTATGAACACTTGACCATGTGCAATCTGCACAAACATAAATACAATGAACACTAAATATTTAATGACAACTTACCATCTGTATCTTTCCCCCTGCTCATCCGAGCGGAATAACTACGCTGGAAATTCATCATTTGATTGCCTAAGATTCTGTTACTCTATATTTGTGGATCAATATGGAAAATAAAGATTTGTTCATTCAATAGTAGCATGTGATGAATAGGATTTATTTTCTTTTTGTAAACACTTTAAGGGTACACTCAAAAGAAATCATTCTCAAGTTTATGAAAAACCGAAACTAGAGGTGCATGGGATGTCTTTAATCAACTGTCAAATTTCCATAACTGAACAGGAAATAAGATTAAGAAAAGCCCAGAAGAAACCGTTTTCAAATAAGTACATGAAGAAAGTCACTTATACCCCATTCAGATTAGCATCGCATTGCGATCAGGTTGTACAATTGCGACACCCAATCACACCCAATCGCAAAGTAAAATCGTATGTGAAAGCTCACCAATAGTAGTCGATATGTAATCGATATCGCAATTGTTACCCGTTGCGATTGGGTGCTACAATCTTTATTACTCCCGATTACCACGGAATCTGATCGCAACCAATTCCACAGGCACTGTTTGGCTGAGGTCAGGAAACATAGGCCTAGCCTCCGGAGGCCTAGGCCATAGAATGTAAAGATTGTTTGTGTTGGTCTGAATGCGTTTGTTGATTGCGATCGGGAGTAATCAGTTTTGATTACCACAATTACATCGCAACCGATCGCAAGAGAGTGTAGTCTGAATAAGGTATTAATGTCAATATTAAATGTCCAACTTCATGTTCTTCAGTAGAAAAGAGTTTGAGATCATTTTCATTCAACCACTAAGAATGAGTTCAAAGAAAGAGTTTTCTGATTTCAAGGTTATAGAGGCTGTCGACCAGAACAAAATTTGAAAATGATACCTTTTTTAAGACTTTCGTTGCAATTGGTATCATCTTCATCTTCTTTTTTATGTAATTGGTGGTAATCCAAAATCACTCCAGTTTTTTAAACCAATTGTAATGTTCGGGCACATTTTGACACAACAGACATTACATTTACAATATGGCATCAATTTAAACAACTCTATTAACTGCATAATGTTGACTGACCTAATTCTATTTTGGTTGAGAAAATGTTCTCTTGTTTGTTACACTGGAAGACTGCATGTTTATCCAGCATAACATGGACATGAGTAATGTTTGAAATGAAATTATAGAGGGGGTACTTTATAATTCATACCAACATTTTTGAATAGCTGGGTTACTGGTTCTTCCAGGATTATGACTGTGTACAGAAGGGATGCAAGTCAGATATGTACGGACTACACTTGTATGCGGAGTTAATTTCTTCTTGCATAGTAAGACTTGTATTTAGCAACACTATGAAAATTGTACAAAAAATTATACAATAATTGGGCTAAATAATATCCTTAAATGAGGTTATCAACCAACCATATTTTTGAAAATTTAAAAAAAACGGGGGAGGGGAGGGACTACGATAAGACTACTATGATGGAAGACCAAGGCTCTGGAATAAACGCCTCTGAACATTGAACAATCACCTTCACTTGACAGTAGTAAGTCACTACTCAAGATGCACCTTTTATAATAATCTCTTTTTTGGACAGCACCACAAGCAATGACTGTTGGAATGGCATCATATAAATTGATTGATTGATTAATTGATGAAAGATAACCTTAGGAGTGGATGGGATTTTGTTTCCTCCGTGATCAAAGTATGACTAAATAATCCCTACAAATTTGTTATTACCAGCCAAGTAATAAATATGAAGCACAAAGTGCCTGACATTTAATTACTTTAAGAGAGAATCTTGAGAACAATCTTTGTAAGAACGTGCAAAAAAGATCAGATGCAAGCTTAGTCAGCAGACTTTAGTCATTTAAATCCTAGCATGTCTGTGTAAATAAATACATAAATAAATTTTTAGAATCACTTTACTTGCAATAATAATCAACAGTGGCAGAGCCGGGTGGGGGAGATAAGCCCCCCCCCCATCGACCAAAGATGGTCGGGCAGTCGGGCCTTTCCAGTCATCCAGAAGTCCCAATTTTTTTTTTCAATTTCGTTTTGGTAGGAGGAGACACCTCCTCCTATACCCACCAACGGCTCGGGCCTTGGGCTACAGTTACACCCATAAATACTTAGGGGGGCCCCCTAACATCTTAGCCACCACCCCTCCATAAATTATATCCTACAGCCACCATTGGTAATCACAAAAAATAAATTAAATATTTGTGAAGTTCTTTGGTTTGATTTTAGTTTTGTGTGTCTGGCGTTCGATAGTTTTACCAACATTGGCTTAACTGAACCAAGAGCAAATGAGCTCTTTGTATCAATAAGGAATAGGCTTACAGGTTATTTTTCAGTACAAAATTTAATGTTGAACTGCTAAAATTTGTACCGTTACCGCGGAAGAAAGGCCCCATCAAAGAGGCCAAGCTTTGCCAAGCCTCCTACTCCATAGCAGCAAGTTGGCACAATTCATTGAACCAAAAAAATGGACACTGCTTTTTTTTAATACAGTAAAACCTTGTTTTTATGTACCCCAGTTACACGAACCCTTGGTTTTACGTACGCCTCATATGGATGATGACGTCATCAAAAACCTCGAAAATATTCAAAACAAACAGCCTTTTGAGAGCAACCATAAGTAAAAAGACTATAACAATAAACTATAACAATAAACAAACTATAATGCAACATATTTTCATTAAACAGCAATGTTGATTGAGTCTAATACCGGGTTGTTATAATCTAAAACCACGTCAACTGAGTGAGATGAACAACTACCGATGGTGCTCAAATTTATTGCTTTCCTCCGTAGCTCCGTGTGGCAAACCATGGAAGAACTCGTCTTGTCAAATTTTCTACACGAAGTTGAGTATACATAGTTTCGTACACGAACGCTAATTGGTTGGCTCGCCCAGTGCATAGCACATGGTTGCTATTTCACGTACACAAACGCTAATTGGTTGGCTCGCCCAGTGCAGCGCACATAGTTTTAGTTTGTCTCAACAGGCTCAGACAACACCACAGCTCTGTTGTTTAGAATAGGCATGAAGGGGAATTTCCAAGTTATACCTTTGTCATATAGGTAATCTTACAGTATTTTCATGTTCTTTATTTTAGTCAAATAAAAGATATACAGTGATGAATTAATACACTAGACACGTGGTTTTATTTGAACACTTTATTATGACATCGTAAAGTGATGAATAAAAACACTAAACACATGGTTTTATTCGTAGGCCTAGGCCTAGAGGCTAGGTCTAACCTATAGGTAACATCGTACATTCGTACATACGTTTATTGAGCGTTACATATGCATTAGGTCAAAGGTTTCCACAAATGTAACCCATTAACCTCTATTTTACGAATCCCCCGATTTACGTACGCCCTCTGGTCCCGTACCGTAAAATCAAGGTTCTACTGTATATTGTTTTTGGCATGTTGTATACCGCAAAGCAGAGGGTTGTGATGCTAAATAGGTATAGTTTAAACTTGGCCCAACATTCAAAAGCAAACTTTATAGTTAGTACATTTCCTAATACTGTGTGATACTACATCCCTAAACAGTCAGGCTTGAATCACAAGTATAGTGAATACAGCGACAATAGCGGATTCAGAATTTTTTGTCAGAGTGGTGCGAGTGGCAATCGAGCACCTAATTTTCTGAAGAGGATGCACACTTGGTTGACAGAGGAAGGTTTAGGGGTGTTTCCTCACCTATTATGGGGTCCATGTGGCTATGACCACTGGCAGCTGTTTAGTGATTTTAATCTCTTATCTAACTGATTTCACAATTTGTGCCCCTTTTACCACCCCCATAGATCCACCACTAGGGAAACCTTTTTCCCTCCCTGGTTTTCACATGTGCAAACATTTTTAGGCCTAAAAAGAGTATACTTACATGTACTATACCATTCCCTGTGAATATGCCTTAAAGTCATTGCTGCTTTGCTATCAATAATACATCAATCCAAACAAACAATATTTAAAGGTCAGAAATCAATGAAATATTCAGTTTTCTATTTCGAAGAGTTGAATACCGACAGTTGATTGAAAAACTATATAAAATTCAGCCAAGATCCAATATTCACACCATGACATTTTATAGCAGTATAGTCATTTTCCACAAGCATGTCAATGCTTAATCAAGGCTTAGTGTGGAGTGACAGCAAAATACAATAAATGTTGCTTCTTATTCCAACAAAGTGCAGTATTCATCCACATTACTTTGCCAAATCTATAGTAATGTAGCCAAGATATGAAAGCAATTTTTTTAACTGTTTGGCTTGAAAGTGTTAATACTATTAAACCACAACCAATGGAAGGACTCACTGCAAACTGCTTTTGAGTATTATCGCTTTTAATAACCTACTACAGCTCCGGTCACATGGTATACTTAAACCTATGGACAAGACTGGGAAAAAAACATTGGTTATAAACATATTAATAATTAATCCAGCATTAAAATCAGTTTTAATTTGACACTTTTAAGTGTTCAACATGCCAAGTATTGCAATAAATCTTTGATTATATTTGATATGATATATTATTAATATTTTCATTGCATACAACTTTACACTGGCTAAATTAATTTAAGGATTACTGTCAGTAAAATGTAAAAAAAGTGTAAAACTTGTGAAAAATGAATAGTTTTAATCTGACTCATTGGAATTTATTAGTACTTCAGTACTAAAATAAGCAGGATGTGTTTAATTAATTTCAGGATGTGTTTTAATTACTTTCAGATTTAAACACAAGTATTGAATTTAATATGTAAAGTTAAATTAAATAGTTTATTTGCTGGAAAATAAATAAAAATTATTACATAGGAATTTTGAACAAAATATTAGTTTGAAATATTCATTTACTTTAATTTATTTCCCACCTATAAAAAAAATAAGCATGCACAATATTTTTGTAAACATCTTAGCAACAATATTCCAAATTGTTATTAATTTCTAATCTAAAAATATTTATTTGACTTCTTTTTGATGATATTCTGGCATTTTTTAAATCTCTCGCTCTTTTACACACACTCTAATGCTACTGTGACACTTGCACAAATGCTTGTCTCTCTATTTATTTACTTTA